GGTCCACCTGCAAGAATAAGAAATGTATAAAGCAGGTTGTTTTAAAAATCTGGTAATAGACACTGTAAAAATTACACACTTTGCGTAGAGCGTGACGTCTGACAGCCTGACGGTCACCATACAGCATCACAGTTGCTGTGTAATGGCAAAGTATGAAAATTTTTTGTTCCAGGTTGAATTGTCTTGCCCAGATCTGTAGTAGGGGTTCAATAACCTGTGGTGGATATAACAAAGATATTTGCTTTAGATTTGTTGTTATTGTAAGAAATATTAAAAAAAAAAAACATTCATTTCAGTAATTACCTCTCCAACAAGCCATTTGTGGGGCTTCAGGGTCTGCAGATCACTATGACGGATCAGAAAGTTGTTTCCTTGGACCTGTGAAGCTATTTGAGAAACTATTGCCTCACTGCTTCTATTTTTCCATAACCAGGTAAGCTGAAATTATAGTAATGGGATAATAATAACATAAGTAATCGTTATTGGCACTCAGTATACAGTATATATATTTCAAACATTAGTGCATAAAAAGATTTATTTGTTTGGCGCATTGACCCCGGCAGTGACACTGCAGAGGGGGAGATTGTCTGCTCCGGTAGATGATCTCAGACCCCCCAGGGTCAAGCACTGGTGGTGGCTAGAAGCATGGTGTGAATGGGGTGTAAGTGGAGCAGGAGCCGGAGCGGGAGCCAGAACCAGGAGCTGAGGAGGCGCTGGGGAGGTGGTGGGTGTTAAGAGCTCAGGAAACACTGTTTATCAGGGAGTGGCTGCTTTTAAACTGGCCGCTTTGCAGCCAGTGGGTTGTCGAGGGGCTGGCCGGGCTGTCTGATTGGCAGAGGCTCGAGAAGCTGGCAAGGCTGTGAGATTGGCTGGCCCTGGCGGTGAGAGCCGTGGCCAGTCTTTCAAGTTTGAACCTGCGCTTGAGCTTCATATATATATATGTACAGTATATATATATATATATTATATATATATATATATGTACAGTACATAGATATATTTAGATATATATATATATATTTATAGATATATATATATATACACACATATATATAAATAAATATTTATATTAATGCAACATTAGTGCATCAGATGTCAAATATTTTCTTTTCTTTTGTCTTCTTACCTGAGAGTCACATTTTGATTTTGCAGTTGGAGACACTTGTGTTACATTCCCAACGACACACAAAGCCTATGGACATGTCCATGAAAAAAAAAATTAGATTTCCAATTTTACACTGAAGTATTTCTCCATGTACATTATGTTTGTGTTCTGTATGCTTTTTATGCGCCATTTCTATAATTTTCTATCGTTGTTTTTCTTTGGGGCTTGTAAGGTAAAGGGGGCGTTAATAAGTGACAGTAATTTTAATTTGATGCACAATCAATACAAGCATATTGATTGTCCATGAAGGCGACCTGAATAGTTCGTTCCTATGACATCCTAGTTTAGTTTATCTAATGCGCTATAGATTTTGTTAATGTCAATGCAATGTCTTTGTCCCCATACTGTTAATTTTTATATTCTTTTTTGTGCACTTATTCAGTGTCATAACTCTTTTTTTATTATGACAGTAGTTAGTATGATACTAACTCGTATTTTGGGTTAGAAAAAGGAAGTATAGGAAATTATTAAAAAAACTATGCTCCTGTTTGTATGTAATTTTTTTCAAAGCTTTGTAATCAGTCAGATGCCAAAATATCTGACATTCAATGGTTCTGAGAGATAGCCAGTTTTCTTACGGTACTGTCAGCTTTTGGTGATGAGTGGCAATCCACTTTGCAGGGACCTTCATTCTCCCCAAATTCCTTTAGTAACAAAAATCAGAATATCTTTTTTAGACGGACATTTCCTTTTATCATTTTTCTAAACAAAAAAAGGGAAACATATATAAATAGATTTGCTTTTCAGTACTATAAAAGATCAAAAAAGGTTTAACTCTATGATACGATGCACTGGTATGAGGTATAATCAATACATAAAATTATCCATTAAAGAGAAATATGTATTTTTAACAATGTAACTACAGCCACGGGACAAATAGAATAGACACATTTTATCTGCAGTGCTTCTCTTTCTTGATTGATAACGTTTTTGGGGGAATTTGCAATGCAACCTGTTGCCAATTGTATAGTTTTTGCTTATTATTTATTTGTACTATTATATTTGCTTTTAGAGACTGAGAGGGAGAATGAGAGAGAGTGGGAGAAAAAGAGAGGAAGAAAGAGCAATGGATGGATAGTTATTTGTCTAAGGAACACTTTTCTCCCCTGAAACAAATGATTAATGTTGTTGTCGTGTACCTGTGATTCATGAGGAGTTTCCAGCAATAAAAGTGTATCATCAATGTGATCTGGTGGCTTCGTGGTTTTCTTGATAGTCATGAAAAGTACACAGAATACTTCAAATAAACTTAATTTGCCATATATGATATAGAACAGAAGCCATTATAAAAACAAAGGTTATGCTTGTATATACGTTTTGGTGTTGAAATTATCAAAATGAGGTATTCTTATTATTTTTTGCCTTGTTTATTAAAGAATCTTTGTCAGTGTTGGATATCGCAAGTGTATGTTGTTACATCACAAAATGCAAGAACAATAAGGAATGCATTTTTTGTCAATATAATTAGTATATGTTTGACCATGTTCACATTGATATAGATGAATAAAATAGGGCACTCTCAAACCTCTACGCAACACAAGTCATGTTTTTTTGGATTTATGTGGATCAGTGAAGATATCGCGTGGGGGTGTGTGTGTAATAAAAAATAATACAAATAATCTTTCAGAAAAAGTAAAAAAGGAAAGTACCACAGTGTTGATGTCTTTAAAAGACTGAGGAGTTGCTGTGAAACTTGTAAATGGGCGAACATAAATCCCTTTGCGAGAGTGTTTTTTTTTTTTCCATTTTTCAATGTCCACTTTAAATCTCTGAAACAAAGTATCACATTATTGTTCCCTTTTATCGTCATATATTGTTGGACTAATATTACATTTGTGTTCATTAAAAAAGGTGTGGTTACTTTCTTTGAAATGACTTTGGAGTCTGAATATTCTCTCAGGAGAGCATCATGCATTGTCTTGTAGCGTAGTACAAGGTCGTCAAGACGTGTAAAACGCCTTCGCTGTAACCTGAGGTGTTTGAGGTCCCACTGTGATTTTTCCATTATGCCCTGTGTCCTGTTGTTTTGAGTGAAGTTCTGCCACACAAAAAAACGGTTTATTGCAATGACACAAAAATGAGCTTAGGCATTTCATAAAAATATAACTTACCTGAGTATCCAAGACGCTCACTTTTTTATGCATCCTGCTGAAATTCCGGTATGCATGCCCATCACCATGTCGACCAATGTCCCCTTAAATGCAATATCACATGCTTAATGGCTTAAATGTATCTCCATGAACATAATTGTAACAGAACACTTACCAAGCATTAATCCCGACCACAAAGTAGCCTGAGGCAAAAAATATTTTGCCAGATTGGAAATAAATTCAGGGGCATGGTAATGATTATGTTCTCCATCCAGATCAAGCTTTGCATCATCAATGATGTCTTTGAAATGTTTGTGAAGGGGCGTGTCACACAGATCATTCTGAAGATCAAAATGACAAATATTTGAAATGCTTAAAAAGTAAAGTCCTTCAACACCTTTTTATGTCATTAACATAATGAGCCTCCTGAGCCTTTTGATGTCATTAACAATGTTTTTTTTTTATCATTAATATCCACTATCCTTATGCTTTTATGCCTACATGCATTAACAATGCAGTCAAAGTAGCATAATCAGTCTTAAGATGAATTTATATTTTGTTTGTCATTATCTCACTCATTCACACTGACTTATTGCTGATCATCTTTAATTACAGTTACCTTGTAGTCCTCCACAAGGACCATCGTGTCAGATACAGCAGGTGACTGTTTCATTAGTTCCTGCAGGTTAAATAAGTGTTTCTGCACATGGTCTCCATTGCAAGGTGACGTGAAAACAACGGTGGCACTTAAAATAATTTCTTCCATTTCGGGAAGAGTGCTGCAGGATGCCAGGAGTCCAAATGTGTGCATGGCAAACTTAAAATGCTTTGGTATCCTGCAATTGAAAAGTAACATGTCACCTGTTTTCTATTGTTTACAGTACAATCAAAAATGTTCATTACTGTATTTAAGATACTTGCGTTTTTCGGCACAGGTCTTTGGCATTCTTCATGATGTGACTCAAACACCGGTGAATGATAGGAAAATCAAACTTTTTGGAGGAGAACTGGCCCGTAACAACCTTGTAATACTGCGTCTGGAGATGCTCAATTGACATCTTGCTAAAGGTGAAGGGAAATCGATTGGAGCAGCACCACTGACCCGTCACAAATGAACATAACAGGTCTTTTCGATATCTGTTTCCCAAAGATGCGGACACAGCATCGGTCATAAAAGCTTGTAAAAAATATGACACCGATGCTGTCGTGTGGTCACAGGTAACAAATGTGGCAATTGGCAGTGGTGAAGCTCCTTGGGATGGATTTCGAACAACAAGTTCGTAAATGTAAAATGTCTTTGCGCTTTTCCTCTGTAAAATGCTGCCTGTGGCATCCAGATACACAATGTCATTTTTGCATCTATCATTAAACACAGATATTGTTCGGTTGGACCACAGCATCACTCCTTTTGGGTATAATATTGCTCTTTGTAGCACGTCGCTGTCGTTGCCAGTTTGACTCTCAATTATTTTGAGAAGACTTTCCATTTCGTTGGTATGTGGGCGATTTATATTTTTTTCAGAACAAGATAGATTTTTCAGGACTTTTGCACCTGGAGCTTCATCCCTGCATCCAGAATCAAATACATTCTCCGAAATGGCTTCTAATTTGTCCAAGTAGAATCCTCTGGGAAGTCGAGTCTTTAATTGTTCAGCTATCTCTTTTCGAGCTTTTCCCCTAATAGGTCTGGTTTTTAACTCTTCCTTGCTGTGGCGTAATTGTCCGTCCAGTTTGACATGAGCCTTTAGAGTTGTCTCACAGTCCACTGCAACTTTCACACACACTGAACAGTCTTTAAAAGTGCAATATCCCACACAAGAAAATAATGGCACATCCCTTTTGGAGTTTAGTTGTCTGAGGCAATGTCGCTTAAAAGCAAAACTACACAAAGGTAGTATGCTCCTCAGACCACCAGCAATCATATTGGTCCATTCCAGCCCTATGAATCCCCTCGATCCTCGGGACTGCTGCAGAGACATCCATTTATCTTTCTCTATAAAAAAAAATAACGGGTCTTGGGGCAATTGTGCGGTGTAAAATCCGTCCTTCAAAGGGCACTGTGAATGACAAAATAAAATAATACTAACATGCATTCGAAACATTGTGTTGAGTCCACAGGAGTGACTGTAATTCTTACCACAGTTTCTGGGTGATCCTCTGAAGATGCTTCTTCCTGGTGGCTTTTTTTCCCCAAAAAAGTCTGAAATGTGACGTACAGAAATATGAAATCATCACTGTCTCAGCTATGTGTATGGCAACCCATGAAATTCCAACCTGTGAATGTCGATCTTCTTCAAAGGAAGACACAGACACTGCCTCAGCAGCCTGAAATGTAACGTACAGAAACATGAAATCATCACAGTCGCAGCTATGTGTATGGCAACCCATGAAATTCCAACCTGTGAATGTCGATCTTCTTCAAAGGAAGACCCAGACACTGCCTCAGCAGCCTGAAATGTAACGTACAGAAACATGAAATCATCACTGTCGCAGCTATGTGTATGGCAACCCATGAAATTCCAACCTGTGAATGTCGATCTTCTTCAAAGGAAGACCCAGACACTGCCTCAGCAGCCTGAAATGTAACGTACAGAAACATGAAATCATCACTGTCGCAGCTATGTGTATGGCAACCCATGAAATTCCAACCTGTGAATGTCGATCTTCTTCAAAGGAAGACCCAGACACTGCCTCAGCAGCCTGAAATGTAACGTACAGAAACATGAAATCATCACTGTCGCAGCTATGTGTATGGCAACCCATGAAATTCCAACCTGTGAATGTCGATCTTCTTCAAAGGAAGACACAGACACTGCCTCAGCAGCCTGAAATGTAACGTACAGAAACATGAAATCATCACTGTCGCAGCTATGTGTATGGCAACCCATGAAATTCCAACCTGTGAATGTCGATCTTCTTCAAAGGAAGACCCAGACACTGCCTCAGCAGCCTGAAATGTAACGTACAGAAACATGAAATCATCACTGTCGCAGCTATGTGTATGGCAACCCATGAAATTCCAACCTGTGAATGTCGATCTTCTTCAAAGGAAGACACAGACACTGCCTCAGCAGCCTGAAATGTAACGTACAGAAACATGAAATCATCACTGTCTCAGCTATGTGTATGGCAACCCATGAAATTCCAACCTGTGAATGTCGATCTTCTTCAAAGGAAGACACAGACACTGCCTCAGCAGCCTGAAATGTAACGTACAGAAACATGAAATCATCCACAGTCGCAGCTATGTGTATGGCAACCCATGAAATTCCAACCTGTGAATGTCGATCTTCTTCAAAGGAAGACACAGACACTGCCTCAGCAGCCTGAAATGTAACGTACAGAAACATGAAATCATCACAGTCGCAGCTATGTGTATGGCAACCCATGAAATTCCAACCTGTGAATGTCGATCTTCTTCAAAGGAAGACACAGACACTGCCTCAGCAGCCTGAAATGTAACGTACAGAAACATGAAATCATCACAGTCGCAGCTATGTGTATGGCAACCCATGAAATTCCAACCTGTGAATGTCGATCTTCTTCAAAGGAAGACCCAGACACTGCCTCAGCAGCCTGAAATGTAACGTACAGAAACATGAAATCATCACTGTCTCAGCTATTTGTTTTGAGAACGCAGTGTTTCCCACACATAGGCTCCACCGCCACGGATTCAAGACCGACCGCCACAGATTCCGTTGCGTTATTAACCCTCTAGGCGCCACGGTCCACAAGCTACGGTACTGTTTAAAACGGCCGACTGTGTCTGTCAAAATTCATTCATACTCCCTGCCACTAGTTGGCAGACATGTCAGACTACCTCCCTGGCCCCAAAAAACATCATGCTCTCATACAAAATATTTGAGCAAGACCGCGTTGAATCAGTGGAGAAACCAGAGCGAAGCGAACGCAGCTGCGAGGGCAGTGTGCGAGTGTTAACATAAACACTGACTTTAGACACTTTGCTCAGAGTCAGTGGAACAGTGTTTCTAAGAGTCAGTTTCGGAGACAGCTTAGATTTGCGGAGAACAAGCCTGGAAGTCGTGTCGAGGCACCGCAACGCGACCTCCAGCCTCCGCTAAAGTCTCCGCTATTAGTGCCTCTCACAGATGTATTATCGTGCCTCCCGCCATCACCGGGACACTAACGTGTTTCAGAAACCATTTTCTTGTGTTTGTTTGACAAGAGAGAGAGCAGGGGAAACATAGCAGCAGGGAGACTCGCGGACTCGCGGTGACACTCAGGCACGCGCTTCACCTGGAGGCGCGTGCCTGGGCAGACAACACCCCCCGCCCCCCGCCATACATTGCTATTAAATCTGTGGGAAACACTGGAACGCATTTCTTTATGTCAAACATGGAGTAGATTAGAATAATTAAAATTTACCATCCATGCTTTGTATAAATTCTTCCTGTTGATGGTGGTGTTCGGGATATCCAAGGAACTGCATACGCTTGTCCAACGCTCATCATCTCCATAGGGGCTCCAAATGGTATTTTCTCCAGGGTCAGCATGAGAGCGTATCGCCAGCTGAATTTCCTGAAACGATCTTTTAACTTTTCGGGACTAGAAAAAGAATTAATTTCACATTCTTCATGTTAACCTTTCATGAGCTTGAATGAAAAACATTTGATTCACCTTACCTTTCCAAATACAGTAAAGGTTCTGAACCTAAGAGTAAACGAGTCATTATATAATTATATAAACATGACATAATTATTAGTATTGCTGTGTTTAGCAGTGTTATGAGCAGTGTATTACAAAGGTAAAGTAATTACTGTACTGTATTTAAAGCATTACAAATAACATGTACAAAGGTCAGTCACGTGCATTACTGTTGTATTTTCTGGGGGATAGTAATATCTTAGTAAGTTTATTTAAAGGATTAATCATGAACATGCGCAATGACGCCTGTGGCTATACTGGGGTAGCACGCACAGCATCCAGTGCACCCTTAGCTACTCTGTGAACAATCACAGATTTACGGGGGTTGGACGTTGTAATAGACGAGCGCGGGTGGGCAACGGAGATTATGAGTAGAATGCAGTATGAGTGAGACATGAGACATATTGGCTCTTGTTATAGTCCGCGGTGACACATGTTTGTGGCAGACGCGCTTGACACTTGGCATGCTGGGAAATGTAGTATTCGCGGAAGTTTGTGGCTGCTACTCTGGAAATGTGCGAGTGTTTTTTTTTGTAGAAAATGTATGTTTCATTTGTATTGTACACATAACTAAGATATTAAAAACAAAAATAACATTTTATACATTAATATACGTTTTTGAAGTAACTTGTCCAACAATGGTCTGTACATTCATGGTACGCACGTGTCTTTGTAATGGCCTTTCTAACGCTGTAGTTCACGCAAACACCCATCCCCCACTCAGCGTCCATTAGTCTACAATTACTACGACAATTTTCCATTAATACATTTGTGAGGATGTTCATTCTCGACACATTTTATGTCTGTATTGTAGCTGCGTGTGTCAGGTTACAAACACATTCAATTATATACTAAAGTAGGTTTATTAACAGGTAATATCAACTAAGGCCTATACGTGACAACTCTTCTAAGTAAAACAAAATTTTAGGCAGGTGTACTTACCTCTCTTTCAGATTCATAATGTTGAATGTACAGTAAAGTGCTTTCAAAAATGAAGGCCTGCATTAATTGTTTAGTTGTCTGTCTCTCTGTCTCCTACACCACTGGCTCTGAATTTTCACGGTCACCCCGACTCTTTATAACCTAACCCGTGCGTGATTGGCTAGAAAAGCTATCAATCACTAATGGATAATTTGACTATACGGATTACACACGCAAATAATTGATCATATTTATTTGATCAATATCAATACATTATTTATTTATTTATTAATTTACTGATGAGAGTAGACAGTTTTTCTCATGGATTCTAGTCTTTAATAACTCATCCTTTACCAGACCTTTTTCAGATCAGGGAAGTATTCTTCCATTGTTTTCGTCCAAAAACAACTCTTACAGAAACCGTATAAAAAAGAAAAGTGTCTCCTGTCTCTCACTATGTTTTTATTGCAGATCATGTTATAGAACCATACCCGTTCCAGTTCTCACCCTTGCCCTTTTTAAAGCACCCTTGCCCATAGAATTTTCGTGTGCCCGCGGGGGTTGGCGAGGGCCCTCACACCCCTAAAAAACATCCTTGGCAAGTGAGCTCTGGATCTCAGTTGCACGCAAGGGTATATGCATTATTATGAGAATTAAGTAGCTGTCGGGCAAAGCTGCGCCACTAAAAGAAAACAACATACATGAAATACCAGGGCACAAGTTTGTGGTGAACGTGAGGAAGCTTCTAGGCATTTCGTTATTTAAGCCTGTGTTGCTGTATGTGGCCGTTTGTTCGCTCATGAATCGGCCGCAGCGTGTGGCGTTCGCTGCACGTAATTATTATATATCCAGGACTCTATGGAAAGTACACTCGTTGATTGACGGTCCTCACAACTTGAGGGCCCTCTAAATTGGGACCGGACCGATCCTTTGTACCCTCTGCTTATGTTTGACAATGCATGGTGTCCACTGATTATTGCGTTATATAGTCTGGCGCGTCAGTAAGTGCCGCTTGTCAGAACTTGAGAAATACGTGTGTTAGCAGAGCGGATTATACGCAGTGTTTAACGTGTCAGCCTTAAAACTAGGGCTGTCAAAATTAACGCGTTAATTACAGTTTTCATTAACGTGTGAAAAAAAAATTGACGCATTAACTGCAATATTTTATCAAGCCAGCAGATGGCAGCATTGCTTCATGAATAAAACTTCCCTCTACTCGACTGGGGATTACAGGGGATCGAAACAAGCTAGAAAAAAAAGTATTTTTGCTGATGAAAGTAGACAGTCCATTCTTTTAGAATCTGGTTTTGGATTTCAGATCGTCATAGTACACAATATTCTGTGGGTCTTGAAAATTCAGTTAAAAACATCAGAAACTGGCAATATGGGAGAAATTAAAGCTGGGGTATCTACATTTTCCCTTTCATTAACAGCTCTTGTTGGTTGTGCCCAAAAGAAGGTTGTGAGCAAGTCAAACAGATTTAACTACAATTTGGTATGAATAACAATGTGTCATTACATTTGATAATCTCATTTAACTTCAATTGGAGTGGATTTGAAATAGAATGTTAAAAATGTGATTAATCGTGAGTTAACTCACCATTACTATGCGAATAATCAACTAAAAAAATTAAAGCAACATAATGGATTTCTTTTGGTGCTTCACCAAACTCTTTAGCAGCCATTTATTCAATCGTCACTTTGACCCCCATTTTCTCTGGATTTCTACAGTAAAAGTGAATGATATTTTACACAGTGGTAGAGGGCATCCTGGTGAACAAGTGTGCAGTGAAAGTAGTGGGGGAACTTTTTTAGTTTTTTTTAAAATGAATTTTAAAAAGTGCTTTTGGGACCAAAATGGCACACTTTGACCCCCATTTTTTCTGGATTTCTACAGTAAAAGTGAATGATATTTTACACAGTGGTAGAGGGCATCCTGTTGAACAAGTGTGCAGTGAAATCAGTCAGGGAACTTTTTTATATTTTTTTAAAATGAATTTTAAAAAGTGCTTTTGGGACCAAAATGGCACACTTTGACCCCCATTTTCTCTGGATTTCTATAGTAAAAGCGAATGATATTTTACACAGTGGTAGAGGGCATCCTGGTGAACAAGTGTGCAGTGAAAGTAGTGAGGAAACTTTTTTAGTTTTTTAAAAATGAATTTTAAAAAGTGCTTTTGGGACCAAAATGGCACACTTTGACCCCCATTTTCTCTGGATTTCTACAGTAAAAGTGAATGACATTTTACACAGTGGTAGAGGGCATCCCAGTCAACAAGTGTGCAGTGAAAGTAGTGAGGGAACTTTTTTAGATTTTTTTAAAATGAATTTTAAAAAGTGCTTTTGGGACCAAAATGGCACACTTTGACCCCCATTTTCTCTGGATTTCTACAGTAAAAGTAAATATATTTTACACAGTGGTAGAGGGCATCCTGTTGAACAAGTGTGCAGTGAAATCAGTCAGGGAACTTTTTTAGTTTTTTTAAAAATGAATTTTAAAAAGTGCTTTTGGGACCACTTGTGCATACTTTGACCCCCATTTTCTCTGGATTTCTACAGTAAAAGTGAATAAATTTTACACAGTGGTAAGGGCATCCCAGTGAACAAGTGTGCAGTGAAAGTAGTGAGGGAACTTTTTTAGATTTTTTAAAAATTTTAAAAAGTGCTTTTGGGACCAAAATGGCACACTTTGACCCCCATTTTCTCTGGATTTCTACAGTAAAAGTGAATGATATTGTACACAGTGGTAGAGGGCATCCCAGTGAACAAGTGTGCAGTGAAAGTAATCTGGGAACTTTTTTAGATTTTTTTAAAATGATTTTTAAAAAGTGCTTTTGGGACCACTTGTGCACACTTTGACCCCCATTTTCTCTGGATTTCTACAATAAAAGTGAATTATATTTTACACAGTGGTAGAGGGCATCCTGTTGAACAAGTCTGCAGTGAAATCAGTCAGGGAACTTTTTTATATTTTTTTAAAATGAATTTTAAAAAGTGCTTTTGGGACCACTTGAACACACTTTGACCCCCATTTTCTCTGGATTTCTACAGTAAAAGTGAATGATATTTTACACAGTGGTAGAGGGCATCCCAGTGAACAAGTATGCAGTGAAAGTAGTGAGGGAACTTTTTTAGATTTTTTTAAAATGATTTTTAAAAAGTGTCTTTGGGACGAAAATGGCACACTTTGACCCCCATTTTCTCTGGATTTCTACAGTAAAAGTGAATGATATTTTACACAGTGGTAGAGGGCATCCCAGTGAACAAGTATGCAGTGAAAGTAGTGAGGGAACTTTTTTAGATTTTTTTAAAATGATTTTTAAAAAGTGCTTTTGGGACCAAAATGGCACACTTTGACCCCCATTTTCTCTGGATTTCTACAGTAAAAGTGAATGATATTTTACACAGTGGTAGAGGGCATCCCAGTGAACAAGTGTGCAGTGAAAGTAGTGAGGGAACTTTTTAGATTTTTTTAAAATGAATTTTAAAAAGTGCTTTTGGGACCAAAATGGCACACTTTGACCCCCATTTTCTCTGGATTTCTACAGTAAAAGTGAATGATATTTTACACAGTGGTAGAGGGCATCCTGGTGAACAAGTGTGCAGTGAAAGTAGTCAGGGAACTTTTTTAGTTTTTTTTTAAATGAATTTTAAAAAGTGCTTTTGGGACCAAAATGGCACACTTTGACCCCCATTTTCTCTGGATTTCTACAGTAAAAGTGAATGATATTTTACACAGTGGTAGAGGGCATCCTGGTGAACAAGTGTGCAGTGAAATCAGTCAGGGAACTTTTTTATATTTTTTTAAAATGAATTTTAAAAAGTGCTTTTGGGACCACTTGTGCATACTTTGACCCCCATTTTCTCTGGATTTCTACAGTAAAAGTGAATAAAATTTTACACAGTGGTAAAGGGCATCCCAGTGAAC